AAAGACATACTATCACTCCATAGTCCTTTGTGAATTTGGAATAAATGCATTTATCTGCTCCGTTATGTTTAAAACCATTTGATAATATAACACTATCAAATTTTTCATGCCATTGTTTTGGAGCTTGTTTTAATCCATACAAGGACTTAACTAATTTACAAACTTTCTTCTCATTTCCAGGAAGCACAAACCCTTCGGGTTGCTCCATATAAACTTCTTCATCAAGATCACCATTTAAGAATGCCGTCTTAACATCCATTTGATGGACATTTATATTATATATTGATGCCAAAGCAAATAATACTCTTATTGGGGTAATCCTGGCCACAGGAGNCATGGACTATGTCGGAAAATGCCACAAGTTGCGTGGCAAGGTACATCGGATTATGTTATAGCAGAGTGTGTTGCATTCCAAAGGCCAGCGGACGGCTGGGAAGGATTGCTTTTCTTAATTGGGCCTTCGTGGCGGATGTCAGTGCAGAGGTTCTACCATTGATTTAGTTCCGGTATTGAGGGACTTTTTCGGATGCGTTTCTTGTGGCCGGGCATGTCGCCGGGTGAGATTGTGGATTTCGGTATTTATTTGGTGCCGGGCACCGTATTGTACGGCTCTGGCAGGAGTCATAGTAGTAGAAGGAGCAGCTTCAGGCTTCCTGGTATTGAGTTCGTTGGCAGGCCAATGTGGCTACGTATTTAGCTTGAGTTAGCTTGGTTAGCCCCGAGCTGTATTGCTGAGGGATAGGTTGATTCGATTGTTCTTGAACTGGTTGGTGATTTGGGAAGATCTATGAGTTGTTTCTTTTTCTGTGCGGTGAGGCGTTATGATTTTCGGACTGTGGGCACATATAGTGCGGTGCTATCGAGATTCAGAGTGGAAGTTGAAGGGGGGACCTCAGTTGTGTTTGAGTTTTGTAGCTTACAACGCTATATGTAGATACCATTATGCACTCAGTATGCTTACGACCGATACTCGGTATTTTGTTATAATGAACAAATTTGGTTCGATGTGCATCTCCCTATGTGAGATATTTGTGTGGATCGCGTGGCACGCCGCCACGGGTATGTTATCTGGATCGGGTTGCACGCCGCAACAGTGTGATGTTCAGAATAGTTTTCCATATGTTACCTTATATACCTTGCTTCCTGGTTTCTGAGGAAAGTCCGTATTGGGTGTTGCTCGGCGAATAGCGCGTCGGTTGTGTCCTTTCAGGATTGAATGGTGTATATTACTTGCTTCACCGTTGGGGGTAATGAATTGCTTTGGTTTCAGACATCAAATTGTGTGTAGCTGTCGGATTTTGATCACAGTGTATTGAGGTGCTTCATGTGTAGCAGTGTTTGGATATGATCGCGCATCGTAGCGAGGCTACGTGGAGTTATGACCCTTCGAGGTAGATTCAGGCATTCTATTTCTATGATGTGAGATGGGGTCTTAGCCTTGTGTTGTGATGGTACTGATGAGCTTGAGGTACAGCTCTTTCGTTTGAGTCAATTGTCATGATTGGAGTATGTTCAGACCGTTTCTTGTTGGTGCGTGTATTATGCAAGTCGTGGCGTAGGCCTGTATTGAGGTGTCATAGCACCAGAGTGATGTGTTGGATTCGAGGTGATCGTTGGAGTCATTAATGAATACGAACAGATTTGATTTCAGCTTGTTAGAAGGATAATATCGAGGTTTGGCCCGAAAATCTGTTGTGATATTAGTCAAAAGGGAAACGGTTTCATGAATGGTTGATATGAGAAATGATTACGGTTTATAGCGTGTTTCATTTATCATTGGCAGTATAGGAAACTGTGGGAATAAGGTTTTAGCTAATGAGAGGTTTTCTGCCGGTATTTGGTTGTTATGGGCAACTACTGTGAATAGAAGTTATTGTTTCGAGTGTTTGGGTTATGTAGTACATCATATGATTTCACCGAGGTTGCAGGTATGGGTTATTACAGTTGGTTCGGGCCTATTCTGAGTATAGATGTGAGGTCTTGATCTTGTGTATGATTTCGGAAAGTGCAATGTGATTCTACGTTTTATGGTCTAGATGGACTGTGAAATTTCAACTATGTTGTATTGTCGGACCTATGTAAGATAGGGTGACGTGGGATCATCCCGGGTATATGCTTGGTAAAGTTATTCAGCTGTTGGTTAGCTTTTAGAACAACTCTGGATACGCTCGAGGACGAGCGTTTGCTTAAGTTGGGGAGGATGTAACGACCCGACCCGTCGTATCAGGTATTACCGCCCCGTTTTTCTCATTTATTGCTTCTTCATGTTTCATTATCAGCAACGAGTGAGTTAGAGTTGAATTGAATTGGTTTGGATAGGAAATGAGACACTTAGTCTCTTTAAGGAAGGCTTAAATTGGAAAAGTCAACCGGACGTTGACTTATGAGTTTGAAGGTTCGGATGTGATTTCCGATGATTCGGTTAGCTTTGGGAGATGATTTGTGACTTGGGAGCGTGATCTGAATTGGTTTTGGAGGTCCGGTGTAGAATTAGGCTTGAATTGGCGAAGTTAGCATTTTGGCGAAATCCGATTGATATGTGAGATTTTGATCCGAGGGTCGGAATGGAATTCCGAGAGTTGCAGTAGCTTCGTTAGGTGATTTTGGATATGTCTGCAAATTTTCAGGTCAGTCGGACGTCTGGTTGGGTTTTTGATCGAATGCGAGTTTCGAAAGTTTTTTAAAGAACTTAGGCTTGAATCCGATGAGAATCGATAATTTTAGTGTTGTTTGATGTGTTTTGATGATTGGAATAAGTTTGGATAATGTTTTAAGTCATGTTGGTGCTTTTGGTTGAGGTCCCGGGGGGCCTCGGGATGATTTCGGATGGCTAACGGGGAGTTTTTGGAATTTCATACAGCTGAAGGCATGTTGTTTCTGGTATTCTCGCTTCTGCGGGTCTTGGACCGTAGAAGCGGAGCCGCTTAAGCGGAGCTGTGATCGCAGAAGCGGTCCTTGAGGGCTTGGCAATTTCCGCAGAAGCGGGAGCAGGTGGTGACCGCAGAAGCGGTCCTGAGGATTTTAAGTTAGATCGCAGAAGCGGTTATTTTGCACAGAAGCGGGAGCCGCAGGTGCGGTATCGCAACCGCAGAAGCGAAACCTGGCTGAGTTTAAGTGAACAGTGTTTTCACGATTTTGAAAGAGAAGAAACATTTTGGACTTCGGACTAAGGAGATTTTGGGCGATTTTTGAAGAGGGTTTCGAGGGCTATCATCAGGTATGGATTCTTAGACTTAGATTATGATATTATGGTGTAAAATCATGGATTAACACTGAAAATCCAAGGAATTAAAGGTTAAAAATGGAAGTTAGGGTTTGAGAAAATTATGATGTAAAAATGGAATTTGGAGGGTCAAACGAACTCCGATTTTGGTAAATTTTATATGTATGGACTCGTGGCGAGACGAGGAATCCGGTGATGTGAATTTTGTAATTTTTCGAGAAGCGGGCCCGGGGCTCGGGTTTGGCTAGTTTCGAGATTCTTGCTAATTTTCGATTGTTTTCGATTGGGTATTGTTCCCTTAGCATATTGTGATGTATTCGCTCTGGTTTTGGTTAGATTCGATGCGCGTGGAGGCCGATTGAGGGGCAAAGGCGTCGCGAGCTAGGGATTTCACCGGTCCGAGGTGAGTAATACTTGTAAATGATATCCTGAGGGTTTGAAATCCCGGATTTGCACATCATAGTGCTGTATTGTGGTGACTTGCACGCCAGGTATGAGCGTGGGGTAGAGCACCGTTAGGGATTGTGACTTAGTCCGTCCCGGTTGTTGGTTTTATTGCGTAATTGACTGAAACTACTTGTTATCATCATTATTTGGTTTGATTGCTATATTTGGGCTTCGTGCCAATTGTTTGAATCCTTAAGGGATTGATATCACTGTTTTTGCATTACTTTGCATATTATTTTATCACAGTCCAAGGTTTAAAATACTGTTTCGCAAACTCAGCTATCTTTCTAAGATTTGAAAACCTAAATGATATTTTACTGACGTTTTGAGTTGAGACTGTTATTTTACTATTGCCCAAGGGGCTTATGTGCATTTCTGGACTGAGGATGGATCGGGTTGCGCGCCGCAGCGGTGTGATATTGATATTGCGCTTGGGCTGTAGGAGCCCCTCCGGAGTCTGAACCCCCACAGTGAGCACGGGTACCCAAATGGATCGGGCTGCGCGCCGCAGCAGTCATATGCATTGCATTGCATTCATGCATTGATTCCTGTTTGTACTACGTGTCATGACATTTAGCACTCTCATATCATTGGCATCCATGCTATTGCTTGTACTGTTTACCAGACGCCCTGGTGTTAACTGTTTGTGGAGTGCTGTGCCCGAGGGGCTGTCTTATGTGCGGACTTGCACTATCTGATTACGCGTTCATTTGCTTGACTGTTGGAAAAGGATGTTTTCAAAAGAGGTTTTAAACTGAGCCAGATATTTTCTAAAGGATTTTCACGGTTTTACTTTCTCAAAGAGTGGTACTGTCCTATATAGCATGATGGATTGCTCTTACGTGATTTCTTGCCTCTCAGTTCTTATTTACTCTTATTACTCACTGAGTTGGAAGTACTCACTTTAGTCCCTGCACCTCGGGTGCAGTTGCAGGTATTGTTCACCCGATAACGGGTTATTAGTTGATTGAAGGTATGGCTATTGTAGCTGAGTAAGGTGACCGCCATCGTTCGCGGCACCGGATGTTGTCTTTTGATTTCCAGAATTTTTCCTTATATATTATTATTGGCCCTGTAGTTGTGTTCACGTTTCTTTAGATGCTCGTGACTTGTGACACCCCGGTCGGGTTGTGTTGGGTTGTACATACTGGTTATTATTGTCGTTAAGCTATATTTATCTATACATTCATGTTTAATAATTGTTAAAGAAACGAATTGGGTTAGTTGGCTGGCCTTGTCTTCACGAGAGGCGCCATCACGACCGGGTATGGAAATTGGGTCGTGACAGCAACAATATCCGAAGAAGAAGCTTGTTGTTGTTCAACATTATTTACCCTCTTCTGTCTAGCATTTTCTTCATTTTTCTGTCTCTTACGAAATCGACAATCTCTCTTAAATGACCCATTTTTCCGCAAGTATAACATGGACCTTTCTTAATGTTAGAAGAATTTTCCTTTGGAGCAGCCTCAAACTTTCTCTTCTTTCCAGCCTTGTTTTCAGATTTTCCTGAGTTGTTTGCCTTACTAGACTCAACATAATTCACCTTTGAACTAGTTTCCGCAGCATATTTATTTTCACATTTTCGTGACTCTTCTTCAATCCGAATATGCTTTGTCAATTGGTCCACATTAAAGTCTTCGGAAGAATGTAATAATTTCTTCCTATAGTCATTCCAAGTGGCTGGTAATTTTGCAAGTATAGCAGCCACTTGAAGAGATTCAGAAACATCGACTTTAAAATCTTTGAGTCTAGATATCAAAACCAGCAACTCATCAACCTGTTCCATGACAGATTTCCCATCTATCATTTGAAATTCAAAAAATTTCATTCCAAGGAATCTGTCCGTTCCTTGCTTCAAAGCAGTATATTTCTGTTCCAAGGCTTTCCAGATTTCTTGTGGTGATTTGTGAGGACGGAACAAATCATATAAACGATCAGAAAGTGAGTTTAAAATGAAACCTCTACAGCGCACCTCATCATCTTCACGTTTTTTGCGTGCCGCCTTAATTTCGTCAGAATCTTCAGCAGTAGGTTCTGGCATTGCAGTAAGATCAGAACTCAGCAGATATGCTATTCCCAACTCCGTGAGAAAGAACAGCAATTTGTCTTTCCAGCGGGTGAAATTTGAGCCATCAAATCGATCCAGTTTGAACACTTTGAACATCTTGTTGAAACCAGAATCACTACCAGAAGCCTCCATTGCAGTGTTGTTAAATTCCTTAAGATTGTTAGAAAATATAACAGAATATAGGGACGAAATAATTAGGCTTTGATAGTGTAGTCACTGTCCTTAAGGAATTTAAGCTTCCCAATTTCGTTGCTGTAGGGATTATGGCAGAATTCCTCCAGGATTTTACAAAGCCTCTGAAATTCGAGCACCAGCAATTAACTCGAATTTCCACTTGAACAAATTTGGTGAATTGAAGATAGCAGAAAAGAAGAAGATACTTTGTTACTTTTCTGGTGATTTTTGTTTTGGAGAAGAAAAGGGTATTTATAAACCCTTTAGGTGTCTGTTAGGACTAACAGACTCAACCTTTGCCAATAGGCACCTTTTAATACCAAAAGTCACCTTTTTTCAAACCCTTTAGGTGTCTGTTAGGACTAACAGACTCAACCTTTGCTAATAGGCACCTTTTAAAACAAAAATCACCTCTTTTTAAAATTAAAACATTTTTTTATTAATTAATAAAATTAATAGATGACTAAAAGAAATAAATTTCGGGCTCTTTAATTGGCGCAAAGCCCCAAGTGCCCGAGTGCCCAATCTTGACTATTAATAATATAGCCAAATTCTAGTTCCCTCCAAAACATCTTTAAATTATTCAAATCATGTAAGACAAAGAACTGCTTTTAAACACTTCTTCCTTTCTTTCTTTTTCCAATGAGGGACAAAGCAACATCTTCTCAAATACTCCCATCAAAACACTAACTAATATAATAATCCCCCACTTAGTTAGTGATTGATGTTTTTTATAAGATTCATGCGTATAGTAGGTATCTTTCGATTTAAACCTACTACTTGTATAAACTATTCAAGACCTTGTCGAAATTGATGGTTAGATTAAGTTCTATTAAACCACAATTCCTATTTGACAAGGCGGAAAAGCTTTATACACATAAATCGTACCAACTTCACAATTTGTTCACCGTGAGTTTTAGCACCCAATTATGGCCTTGTGCTACTTCCTGAATTCATAAACACTTATCAAGTTTTGTATCCCAAACTTTGATCGAAGCGGCACCACTTCTTGTGTTTACATAGGTGAAGATTTAACCAAATCCTTAACACGGACTTCTTTAGTTCCTAAACCGAACTCTGCTTCTTCACTAAGAGTATTTTTTATACTCATCCTCCTTTTCTTGGTACTAATTTCCAGTACCTGCTATCCGTCACAACTATAACTTGTTGTTACCTTTTAAACCTTTAATATTGTTGAACAATAAGAAAGGTAAGGTTCCCGTTACTAGTGACAAATTTAAATTACCTTAGACCCATAGCACTTGTTGTGCTTATTATCATATCCCTCGCGAGTCCTTTAGTGAATGGGTCAGCAAGGTTGTCTTTAGACTTGATGTACACAACAGTAATAATTCCATCCGAAATTAATTGTTTTATGTACTCATGTCTTAAAGCAATATGTCTAGATTTTCCATTGTATATTTTGCTAAATGCCTTAGACATAGTTGCTTCACTATCACAGTGCAAGAGAACAGCTGGCATTGATTGTGGCCACAACTTTATATCTAACAACAGATTTCTCAGCCATTCTGCTTCTCTTCCTGCAGCTACTAAAGCAATAAACTCAGATTCCATTGTGGAATGAGTAATACACGTCTGTTTCTTAGAAGCCCATGAAATTGCCCCTCCACCTAAAGTGAATATCCACTCAGACGTTGACTTGTTATCACCAACACTAGTTATCCAACTAGCATCACAATATCCTTCTAACACTGAAGGAAATCTGTTATAATACAAGGCAAAAGTTTTTGTCTTTTTCATATAACCAAGTACCCTCACTATACCTTTTCAGTGATCACCACTTGGATTGTGAGTATACCTTGACAATTTACAAACCGCAAAGGCAATATCTGGCCTAGTACAATGCATAGCATACATTAAACTACCAATTGCACTAGCATAGTCTAATTGACTAACAGATTGTCACGACCCCAATCCCGGTCGTGATGGCGCCCAACACAATGCTAGGCAAGCCCGACCATTTGAACACTCTCCACCTAGGTACGAAACACATTACCAAATAAAAGAGTTAAATTACCAGTTAAGCTTGATTCTAATATGTGATAATAGCTAAATCCGTGCGGAGAAACCATTGCAAGTACCGAAAACAACACCCAAGGATCTGGTGTCACGAGTCTAGAGCCTCTACATACAACCGAGTAGTAACCTATACATGTAAAGGTCTAAAATGCGGAAACAAAGGGGGTAAGGGGAGGAATCGGGTCCTGCGGACGCCATGCAGCTACCTCGATAACTCCGGTATCAAATCTAAGCAACAACAAAGCACTCTACGGAGCCTCCTGGATACCGGTATATGCACACATGGTGCAGGGAGTAAAGTGAGTACTCCGACTCAGTGAATAACAGAAATAAATAACGACTGAAAATAAGAAAACTCGTAAAAACACTACACAGTTCTATATCGAAATCAAATGCAGTAAACAACAGCTAAGTGAGGAAAACAGGTGAATATCCCTCAAACCAGTACACAACTCACTTACTCCTCTCAAAGTCCGGTAATTTACTTACACTGCTACGGCGTGCAGCCCGATCCAATAATAATAGTCGACTGCGCTCACTGGGGGTGTGCAGACTTCCTACAGCCCAAGCGCTATAATACTGCGGCGTGCAGTCCGATCCATATAATATATCACTGCGGCGTGCAGTCCGATCCATATATGTATATATGTATTTCGCTGCGGCGTGCAGCCCGATCCGGTATATATATCA